CTGCGTCCGACTACAAGCCCTCAACTGACTCCGCTAAGACGCCTTCGTCCAGCAAACCCACTTATCCCACTCGCAAACCATCCTCTCCTGCGTCCGACTACAAGCCCTCAACTGACTCCGCTAAGACGCCTTCGTCCAGCAAACCCACTTATCCCACTCGCAAACCATCCTCTCCTGCGTCCGACTACAAGCCCTCAACTGACTCCGCTAAGATGCCTTCGTCCAAGTAAACCCTTTCCGTGGAGAGTGAAGAAGCCCAAAATGGGCAAAATCGCTGGCATGATCAAAGCTATGCTCAAGGCCAGCTTGACCCCCTAAGCGGGTTTTCAGCTGTACGCTCGAAACTAATAGAATTGAATTGTTTCATTCTTGAAATATGTTTTTGACACGATTTCTTGACATCTAATGTAAAATATAATGGTAAAATCCAACCAACAAGGTGAGCCATTTGACACTTATACATTGCAAACCAGGACGCTTTAAACGAACAAAATTATGTGCTATCTAGGTTGAGAATTGTGCTGGGTCAGTGTCGCTAGGTTAAAATTCCGGCAACTAGAATTTGACAATAAGGCCAATGCTTGTGCCTGTGCCGTTAGTATTAGTACTTAGATGGCCAGTTTATGGCGCCAGGGAAAGTGTAAGGTGCACTCAATTTGGCAAAGGAATTGCTTGAATTCGAAATCAGCAAATCGAATTGCAAGAATAAAGAAATCGCCAAAAAAAAGCAAACATCGAATCTTTTTTAAGCTTAAACCGTGACCCATGCCTACCTTGCCTTGATTTGAGTGGAAATCAGAGTTAATGAACCCACAGATGAACTCTATTCAAGCCGATTAAAGGGCAACTAACATTAAATAAGAATGCCCAACCTTTCAGCTTCATGCAGCAACTTTCATAATTGAAATCCAAATCCCGGTCCTGGGCGACTAGAAAGCTACATTCCGCAAACGAGGTCTCTTTCACCATAAATCGGGCATCTACGTGATGAACGATTGTAGCATTTGGTTTTGTTACTGGGGGGCGAAGCCGTTGAAATTGGGAGGCGAGGGGTCCTCCGTGTGTCATTTGGACGCGGGGTTTATCAATCGCATGTTTGGAGAGATGATTTCTTACAATGTATACAGTAAATACCCCTGGAGTCTCATTAGTATTGCTCTCGTGTTTGCCAAGGCCTTCGCGTGTAGCAAATACCTCTTGAAACCCAATTTGGATGTTGTTACTGGGTTTGCTTTCCACCTGATTGACCCCCTCCCCACTTGTGGAGAGGGAGAGGCAGTTGAACGGAACTGACCAAACAATTTGCGTGTTTGCGACTTGTTGCCTCAAGGTTAACAACATAACCACATATATGTATATGTTTTAAACCAAGGTGTCCTGTCACAACCTAAACATCGTCACTATCGTCGTCTTTATCATCGTTGGCATCGTCAGAGGGGGAAGGCATGGGGCGGGATGAGTTGGAGCCGGGGGCAGTGGTTTGTACGTGCTCGACAATGGCATCGGAGTCATCCCATCGTCACACAATCACCATCGTTGTCATCATCGTCATCAACGTCGTCACAATCGTTGTCATGGGTAGGGAGGGGTGGGGACGACGACGTGCTTGAGACGGGGGCGGTGAGCAGTGGCTTGTGGGTATTCGACGCGGAGACGGCGATTGGTACTTGTTCCCACTCAATTCCAGATACGACACCTCTTCGGCCACGTGGCACATGTCTTTGCCCCCACTCCTCGCCGCAAGTACATGTACCCGTTGTCACCCCACTCACCTTTCCCCGAGTTTTTCATCTTGAAGCGTTGGCTCGACGAAGTACCATAGCCGACAGCAATCACGGCGTGGTCGGAGTCAGATCCAGGGCGTTGGGTGACCACACCGTTCTTGTAGTTGCGCCACGCTGCGTTGCCATATTCGGCAATCACTGTCATGGGCTGGCCGTTGAGAGTCGTTTCGAGCGACGATTCGCCCGAGGTGATGGCAGTATTGCCAACGTTTTCTGGCAGTTTTTGTCGCAGCTGCCGGTTTGGACCGTATATGGCCAGTCCATTTGACAACACACGCCTTGTTGCATCCAGTCAAGGGCGGTCAGAGGGAAGCCCCCGTTGCAGCCCATGCTGCCTCCGGTCGTGGAGCAACTGACCATTTGTTGCTCGGGCAAATCCAACAGTTCCCCCGTGACAATGCAGTGCGCGGCTTCGACCGACGGTGGACAAGGCCCAGAATGACCCACCCGCACGTCCCTTGGGTTGCCATCGGGAGGTTGCACTTGTGAGTCGCCCAGTCAAGGTCAGACGCCTTGACAACCCCGGATTCCGGAAGGGGCGACGCGGAAAATGTGTGCTTGCCAAACGACTTATCCAGCACTTGCCGGAACTGTTGGTCGTTCAACAATGCAAACTGGTTAAACTCGCTAAAGGTCGCCAGTGGGTTCTTGGTGTGCGGCGTCCTGCACTTGGAGGGTGGTTTCGTGGAAACGTAGTAGCAGTTACATATCGGTGTGGCCAGTCTTGCTGAGTGATTCCGGGCGAAGCCGTTGGCTTTGGCAATGGGTCATACAACGTCTTCCACTTGGTCAAGCGTTGTTCCAAGTCACTTTCTAGGCGTCCAGGAGGGATTCAAAGATGGGTGAAGCAGACACGGTGTCGCGGACAAGCTGACTGCACATATTTCATGGTGGTGGTAGCTGTTGTGTTTAAAAGTGAAATTGAACAATGCTTACAAATGGATTGATTGGACTCGTGATAGGAACTACGGTATAGGTTAGCTCCCCTAGGACCAAAATGCGTCTTAGACGTACCGTACGCCTAAGACGTACGAATGGACTAATTTGTCTGAAATCTGTTTACTTAAATCAAGAGAAGAAATGTTCAAGAAATATTATTGAGCGACATGAAGGAGGGGCGATTCTGTTCTGTCCATATTTAGCTCAATATACATTTACTTAAGTACGACTTAGACGTACGTCAAAATATACTTATTCGTCTTAGATGTACTTAAAATGGTCCTAGGGGAGTTAGGAGCATGTATAGTGCTTTTCAACATTTCTGCCAGTGGTTTTAGCAGCTTTAACGATTGAACGTTTTATATAAAGGAAGGTTGCACTTGCTCTAAAACGAAGCAAATCGAAGGTAATGATATGCCGTGGGCCTATGGAAAAGGAAGTGCAGCGACCATGGAGGATGGCCTCCACTGTACTCTACTTACAGCCGTCATTCTTGGTTGTCTTCGGCCGTCGCATTTGTAAGGAATAGATCCGCAGATCCCGTCAAGGTGCGGCACTGTCTTATGGGCAACATGGAGAAAAGGTCACCGATGCACTCGACGGTAGCGTACAGCACAGTACAGCGACGGTGGAAGATATCGCAAATAACGGCTGCCGCGTAGCAACTGTAATGTCCACAGCACAGTGGCCGTTCACCATCATCGCTGCACTTCACTGTCCGCTGCCGCAGCCACACTATGCCATTATCGATGTTCTCTACACTCCACCGTCCGGCACCGTCGCCCCAGATAGCAGCAGGCCAGTGCAGCGACGATAAAGGAGTCCTCTACAACACTTCTCCGTCCACCATCTTCGTTCCACTCCATCACCCGCCACCTCACATTCGGCGGGGGAAGGCGGTGGAGTGCAACAAATATGGTGGACGGAGAAGTGATGTGGTGTGGACCTATAGAAAAGGAAGTGCAGCGACCATGAAGTACGGCTACCACTGCACTCGACAGTGAAAGTCATCGCAATATAGCGCAGTCGATACTTCAGACGTTTTCACGGCTCGACGAGCGCAAACGCTTTATTTTCTCCAGGTGTGTGCACCGATGGACATCACAGCGGTCGTCCACCATGATTACGCACCTCACTGTCCAGCGTAGCAATCCTACAATGTACTCTATAATCGAGGCACTCCTATACTCCACTGCAAGCCACCGTTGCCCCAGATAGCAGGAAGCCGGTCACCACTGGATTGCCGCGGCGGTGGCGGACGGTGGAGTGCAGGAGTTCTTCGATGATGGAGGACTTTGTAGACTGGCCGCGGCGGCGGATAGTGGGGTGGCAATGATTGTAGACGGCCACTACGGTGACCACCATCATCGATGTACTATACCGAGCAATATAACGAGTGTCCCCGCAGCCTCCGCGATCGCGGGTAAGTGGCTTCCGTAGGTCTGTCACGGTGCGGAACAGTCTTCTTATCGGCACTACCGTGGATACCCCAACGTTAAACTAACTTCACGTTGCGTCAACTACATGAGAGCACCTGGGCAAGGATAACGCGCCGCCATCGCATGGCCTGGCTTAGCACTGCAGTAAAACACCGCGTTTGCCGAAATTTCATCGGCAAACACCCCTGTTAAACAAACCTTGCTCGGAAAACCAGCCAGAAATTCCTTTGGCGGCCAATCAAAATGAACCAAACCCATACGATCCATAAAATCACCTCTAATTAGAGCATGGAATTACTAAAAAGAGTGATACGTTTGGTGCTTCGTTGTACTGTTAGAGCATCTCCAACGGTAAATTCTAACCTATTGCTAAAGCATAGGTTAAAGTCAAACTTCGTTTTTACGGTTGCTATTTTGGCACTATCCGGACTTTTTAGAAATTTCGACTCGCAGAATTTCTATTTTCGCGTGATATAGCAACAAACCCTCCGGATAGTGCAAGAATTTCTATTCTATATCCTCCGTAACTTCGAATTGAAATAGAAATAAAAACACCGTTGGAGATGCTCTTAGTAAAACGAAGCTGGACTAATACTACGTGGGTCCATGTTTAAAAGAAGGGTTTTAGTCCCAGAATAGACAAAAGTTGTGAATAGCACAATACAAGACCATGTAATTTTTGAGAAATGTCAAAAATTCACCTTCGTCTATAGTTGACATCAGGACTGGAGTCCAAATGTGGACGAGAGTGGGCCGTTGGAATAATGGGCTGACTTTTACGGCCAAGTATTTCAAACCAGGTGCGGAGAGTACAACAGTGAAAGAGGGAATTTTTCGCCACACTTTGAATCGAAATCTTGGAATCTGATTGGCCAACTTCAATTTTTTTGACAAATCAAACCAAACGTTTTGAAAATGGGAGGGAAAATAGCTCAGTTATAGAGCATCGGTGTCTTAGCTCAAAGGTCGTGGGTTCGATCTCCGGCTTCCCCGGATTATTTCTGCAAGGATTTATGATGCGCGTCACCTATAAACTACTACGAAGTACTATCTCTGTCCAAGTATGATTGCGATTGAATATTCGGCAGCACTTTGTATCTTGCTTTCAGTATACGATGTAGATTCTGAATCTGAAAATACAATAAAGATACAGCTTGGTGGGATATCTCACGACGATGAAGGATATGATATGACGCGAGAATATTTTGCAGGTTATCTGTGATATTTTCTACTCGTGTCATTGCCTTCACATTCACACGCCCAAGGAAGTTGCAAAGTTAACAAATTCCTTAAGTCAAGTGATACAGTGTTCTGCAGCGTGCAGAGCAATTGGGTCGCACGTTAGTTTGACCCATTGCAAACACACACACTCTGTGTGTGTGACGTGTCAAAGGTTCCGATACCTTAGTGGAGGTACTGAGTACTTTAGGGAGTGGTAGTCAGTAGGCGCCTCGTGGCGTGTTTAACCTCACTAATATCAGTGTGTATATTTGCTGCCTTGACGAAGGTCCCGTGGCCGAAAGCCAAGAAGAAGCGGGAGACAAT